AAACATAATCTATAATAAATAATTACGACTTTCCGATAGAAGGACATTGTCTTTGGTGGCCCTGGAAGCTGTCAGTTTTTGTTTATGCTGCCCTCAGTGGGCTTCGAGTTTGACATGCCTGACCATGCTGGACCTGTCCTCCTGAACTTATCTAATGCTTTTTTTAATTGTGCTAGAGTCTTGGCCTTCACAGCATCCTCTGGCAAAGGTGCCAGGGGCTCACTCTGTGTTGAAGGAGAAGTTCCTGATGTTTGTTTTAAACCAGATGTCCATTGATTTCATTGGGTGACACCTGATTCTTGTGCTATGGGAAGGAGTAAATTATATTTCTTTATTCGCTTTCTCCACACCCGTCACGATTTTATAGCCCTCGATTATATCCCGCCCCTTAGTCGTCTCCTGTCCAACTTCCAGTCTTTTCAGTCTCTCCTCAGACGGAAGCTGTTCCAGACCCCTAATCATTTTTGTTGCCTTTTCCAATTCCAATATCTCTTTTGTTGAGATGGGACGACCGGAACTGCATGTGGCACTCAAGCTGTGGGCGTATCATTGATTTATATAGTGGCATTAGGATATTTTCTGTCTAATTCTCTACCACTTTCCGAATGATTTCCAACCTTCTATTTGCTTTTGTGAGTGCCACAGCTCAGTGTTTTCAGAGAACTCTCCACAATGATGCCAAGATCTTTCTCTTGAGTGGTAACAGCTAATTTAGGCTCCATCCTTTTGTCTGTACAGTTGGGATTGTTTTCCAACATGCATTACTTTGCACTTATCAACATTCAATTTTATCTGTCCTTTTGTTGCCCAATCACCCAGTTTAGTGAGCTCCTTTTGCAACTCTTTGCAGTCTGCTTTGGATTTAACACTCTTGAGTAATTTTGTATTATCTGCAAATTTTTCCACCTCACTATTTAGTCCTTTTCTTGGCTCTTTTATGAATATACTTAACAGCCTTGGTCCCCAGTGTAACGTAGTGGGGGTACTTGCTGGGCTGTGGTGACCTCTGCTGTCTGGAGCAAGACCCAGCAGGGAAAACCTTATTATGCAAAGGTGACTCAAAAACCTGTCTGACCTGCGGCCCCCCATGGGGAGAAACAAAGGGAGGCGGGATGCTGCCCTGGCTGGGGGCAGGGCTTGGAGAGGGGGAGTTAGTTCCTGGCTGGAAGGCAGGGAAGAAGGAGCTGGGGAGGGGGCTGGGACTCCCCTATCTCAAGGGGGGGCACTGAGGCCTCTTAGCCCCAGTTCCTGTAACCAGATTACATCTGTGCTGCGCTGTGCTGGAGGAACAATAAACAACCTCCATTCTACTGGCTGGTGAAGTCTGTTCATGCCATTTCGGGGGTGCAGGAGATGGGAAAATCCCGACGCGTCGTCACAACCAGGCAGTGTGGGATACCACTAGTTACCTCTCTCCAGTGTGAAAACTGACCATTTATTCCCAGCCTTTGTTTTTCCATATTTCATCTAGGAATGCAAAGGGGTAACTGGGTACCCAGTGAGCATTGCTTTACCGGCATGCTTTCCGGGGTAACTGGCTAACTAGCAGCTGGCCTGACTGGAGCAGCCCCCCAGCCCATGATGTAGTATGGTGGAACCTGCCCGACACCGTCGCAGCAGGCCATGATGGGGAGCTGCTCCAGCCCGGCTGAGCCTACCCCTTGAAGCCTCCCACGGTACTATGTGGCACAATGCACATTTAATCAGGTAACATCTTAAATGGAATTTTACATCCTTAGTTTCAACCAGATATTGATCCCCGAGAAGACCTTCCCTCCTTTCTTATGACTGCTTATGAAATCTAGTGCATGAAATCTAGTGTAAAGGCAACTTAAAGCCCCAGTCTTATAACTGAGTCCACATGAACAGACTCTTTGTACCTGTCTGGAGCCCAGTTAGCCGATGGGGCTGCCTTTACAGATCCACTTGAGAGACTGAAGCAGAAATTAGCCAAAGCAGTAAGATCTTTGTATCACTCCGCTATACTTAGCCCAGATAGAGTCTTCCCCCCTTCACTACATTCCACTTTGCTGTGTGAAGTGCTTGCATCAAGAATTATTTTCACAGGTTATATAGACACAGGATGCCTCCCATGCATCACAACACCAGCCTGCCTGCTCCCATTCCTGGCCCACTTGGGATACCGCTGTTCACTGTTGTTTGCCTGCTCTTCAGTTTGATTATCCTGCAGGGTTGGCTGCTTTTGAAAGTCCACTGCCTGCCTGGGCAGCTTGTTTGGGTTAAACCTTCCACTTCAGTCTGGAACAGGCCTGGCTAAAGCCAGAGCATTTATTTCATGTAGGTGGTCATGTGTAGCCAAATATGGTCTGTGACCATGCCTCCCTCCCACTGAGATCAAGGTGGAACTTCCTTTGGGACTGGAGTCTCTATGGGCCTCGCCTTCATATTGAAGATGAGGGCTTCTGCAATCTCCTCTGCTTTGTACCAAAGTGTGCTCCTTGGGGTCCTCAGCGGTACTGGATCTCATGAATCACCTGGAGTCGGATTTGCAGAAGAGCAGAGCACTCTCAACTAGGGATGTTACATTTCAATTAACTAATTGAGTAGTGGATGGGATTTCCATCGACTATGCAATTAGTCAGTAAGGACTTTTGCATTCTGCCTTTGAAATGAACAGGAGCCCCAGTGGACTGCTGTGTAGAGCCCAGGGCCAGCAGGGCTCTTCTGCTTTGAAATGTACAAGAGCCCCAGCAGGGACACTTGTATTTTTCAGAGTTGGCCGCAGCTGCGCCTCTGCCCTCTCCCACATAGCTGGAGCAGGGGGAACCGGCTTTTAAGCCAGCTCCCTCCAGCACCCCCTCCTCTTCCAGCAAGGAGGGGGAACTGACTAGTGGACTAGTCAATTAGTCGCTTACATCCCTACTCCAAACAGCTGAGTATGCTGAAAACTTAGGCCTTGGGCATGCCAGGTTGGTCATTTGTCAGTTTTGTCAAATACTATGTTGCAAATTTGGGACCACACATTGAATGAGGAAAACAGAGAGGAATCCACTCTGAGGCAGGGATCCTGAGGAAACCATCATATATGATCACTCAGTTAAAGACTATCTTAATACACAAGGGGGCTATATTAAGGTTGCACAAATCACCTTAAATCTGACATTTTCTAACTCTGGAGTGCTAGACATTTTAGCTGTAATTGTGGAATGGAATGGGGTGATAGAGGATAAGGTATAGCCAGGCTGGTACATAGGCTGTCTGGTGACAGGAGTTGAAATAGTGAAAAGGTTTTTTTTAAGATAAACATTGGCAATCCCCACAGCCCCCCTCTCAAGCCAGAATCAGCTGATGTCCAAGGACTTCACAGTGGAAGTGGGTTTTGTGGAGGAATTTGAAGACGCAAGAGGCCTTACACACAGGACTCTCCAAGAATTAGCATGTAAGGGGAGCATGGAAAGAAGCACAAAGACATTTGCTGGAAATAAGGCACAAACAAAAATTTAACAGCAAGAGGCAGGTTAGCAAGGAGTGTGGTGGATGCACCCTTTGAAACCTTTCAATGACAATCTGATGGCTTTCTGAAAGACCTGCTTTTGTGCAAACCTGTTTTTGGGCTGGCTGCTGGGTGAATCTCTCTAGCCTGTGTTCTCCAGAAGGTCAGACTAGAGGTTCATGATCAGGGCTTGCCAAGTGGCGGTGAGTCCCACTCGCCAGCCGCGTGGTTTCACGCGGTTCTGCGATCTGTGCATGCACAGATGGTTCTGCACGTGCACAGATCGCTCTGCGCCGGCTCTTCCGGCCACGGGCGTGGATTACGTTATTCGTTGAGCCCTGTTCATGGTGGTCCCTTCTGGGCTCATGAAGTCAGAGGTTGAGGCTGGGTGCCAGAACTGGTAAGCGAGGCAGAGCCACCAAGGGCCTTGAGAAGCTTAGTGGTGTACCGGGAAAGTGGGAGCCATGGGAAACGTGGCAAAAACAAGCCAGGAGGATGATGTTTGATGTTAGCAGCTGCAGCTGGATGGAGCCACAGTGGGTACCAGGGAGAGGTTACAGGAATGGAGGCTGGCCAGTCAGACTTTCCGCTTTGGATGTCTGTCTGCTTGAAAGGAGCAGGGGATACGATCCTCTAGATCAGGGATTAAAATTCAACCTCACTGACACTCCCTTCATTTGCAGGCTTTGGCTGGTGAGGTTCAGCCACAAACCAGCAGTCTCTTTTTGGAAGAGAATGTGACAAAATAATAGAAGCTGCTTTTATTCCAACCCAGGTTTAAAACAGGTCTGCAGCCCTGCGACTTTGCATGGAACGGTCCATTGGGCGGGTCTGCGGAGGGCTGCGGCATTCCGCACACTCGATGAAGACATCTAGTCATGCCACTAGCAGTGGCCAGCACTTCAGAGGGAGGCAAAAATTCCTTACAGCCTCCTCCTCCCCTTGATTGCCCATTTAAAAAACTTTCCAAGAAACACCTTCGTGCTGTCTCCCCTGGTGCATGGGAGGAGCTTCAGCAAGGCTGCCAGGTCGTCCCTCAGACCGCTCCTTAAAATGCTTCTCTGCCATGACTCCTACATCCCACTCGACAGCTGGTGAGCTGTGACTGATGTTTATCAGGCCTGACCAGTATCATCTTGTTTCCTTGTATTCTCCCATCTGTCTGTCTCTGCCTGTTGTCTGTAGTGTTGTACGGTGGGGCAGGGGCCTTCTAGCTGTGTTTGTGCCCCAGTGGAGCCTTGGCCTCTAAGGGCTACTGCAGTAGTAATGACCAATGGTGGGGTGTGAGGCTGCTCTTTTATGGGCCAATGACTAACTGGACAGGGGAGATGGAATTAGCCCATCGGCCCTAATGTAGGCTCATCAGGCAAGGCTGAGGCCTGTGGGTAGAAGTGGGTCTGTGCCGAGCTTCGGTTTTAAACACTGGCCATCGGCACTGCACATCATAAAAACGCATATTAATAAATCAGCACCCAGATCAGCATCAGCATCTGAAGGGACTCGGCATAGGCTCTGATCAGCCGGGGATTGTGCTTTCTCTCCGCAGCCATGGATTTCCCACAGCACAGCAAGCAGGTCCTGGAGCAGCTGAACCAGCAGAGGCAGCTGGGCTTGCTGTGTGACTGCACCTTCGTGGTGGACGGCATCGACTTCAAGGCTCACAAGGCGGTGCTGGCAGCCTGCAGCGAGTACTTCAGGATGCTCTTTGTGGATCAGAAGGATGTGGTGCATCTTGACATCAGCAATGCAGCAGGTACGCAGCTGTGGCTCCTGGGAGAAGCCAAGGCTGAGCTAAGGAGCGACCCCTGAGGTGGTGCGCCAGATCCTCAGCAGGTGTGAATCAGTGCAGTCAAGTGGAGCCACACCCATTCACACCGGGAGTGGCTCTGGCCTAAAGTGTACGGAGTCGCTTAGGAAACTTGGGCTGAGTGGGGACAGTGATGCTCACTGGAATTGCCACACTGGATCATGCCCGTGGTCCATAGCCCAGTGTCCTGTCTCTGACAGTGCCCCCTGCAGTAACACACATGGGATAATCTGACCTCATAAAGATCTCCTCCTAATCCCTCCTGGCCGGAGATTGGTTTCAACACTGAAGTGTGGGGTTCCCAGAGCTCGGTGTGTATTAACTCTTAGAACTCTGTGTAGTGTGGTTATCCCTGAAAACATCTGCTTGCTCTTTGAATCTCACTAAGTTCTTGGCCTCAGTGACCTCTGGCCAGGAGTGCGGCAGCCTCAGCACACTCTGTGCAGCAGCGTCTTTTTCCTTTGATCTCTTTTGAACACGCTGCCTGTTGGTTTCATTGGACGTCCCCTTGTTCTTGCTCTTCTTTTGTGTGATTTCATCAGGACTCCTTTTAGTCATCTCCTTGTGTCTCCACTTCAGAGAGCCTATGAGTAGCTATATTGGTAGAGCCATCAACACCAAGAGACGCTCTTTACCAATGCAGGGAACTCCACCTCCCCAAACAAGGCTAGCTAGGTTGGCAAAAACCTTTTTCCATCAACACTGCTACATCTGGGGGGGAGGGAGAGCTCAGTGGTTTGAGCATTGGCCTGCTAAACCCAGGGTTATGAGTTCAATCCTTGAGGGGACCATTTAGGGATCTGAGGCAAATCTGTCAGGGATGGTACTTGGTCCTGCCATGAGGGCAGGGGACTGGACTCAACAACCTCTCAAGATCCCTTCCAGTTCTATAAGATGGTATATCTATACTGGGGAGGGCCTGTTGGCGTAGCTGTGACAGTCAAGGTTTGGGTTTTCTCACACCCTGACTGACCCAACTGTGCTATACATGTTTTCAGAGTAGGCCAAGCTTACGGTAGCATTCACAGTCTTTCTACATTTGAGAGTTTTCTCATGCTCCTAATCACTCAGGTCCCTTCTGGGAACCTGTTCTAACACCACAATATTATTTTCCAGACGAGATGACCAGTTCTGCACACAATAGTGTAGGGGTAGGGGCATCATCAGTTCATATCATTGCATTACAGTATTTTGTGTATTATTCTCCATCCCATTCCTTCTGCATCCTATCATTTTGTTTGCTCTTTGATTGCAGCTCCTCACTGAGTAGAGGTCTCCATTGAATTGTCGACTGTGATGCCCTGGTGTCTTTCCTGAGTTGATCAATTAGTTTAGAACCCTGTCAGGTTCATGAACCTGCCAGGTTTAAATGTTTCCCTCCGGTGTGCATGCTTAGCATTTATCAGCACTGAATTTCATCTGTCCTCCTATTGCCCATTCACCTAGCTTGATTAAGCTCTGAAATGTCTCTGTCTTCTCTGGTCTTGACTAATCTAACTCTGCCTTTTGCAGCATTTGCCTTCTCACGACTCATTCTTTCCATTCTATTTCCAAATCATTAATAAATATATTAAACAACTCAGGACCTGGTAGGCCCCTTGAGGCATCCCACTGTTAATCTTTTATGATGAAAATTGGCCATTTATTCCTATTCTTACTTATTTTTTGTCTCTTAGCCAGTTATTAATCCATGATGTTACCTTCCCTCTCCTTCCATGCTTCTTTAGTAGTTTCTCGTGTGGAACTTTGTGAAAGTTCTTTTGAAAGTTGAAATAAAGGATGTTCATAGTGTGATGAATTGGATCACAGAAATTCCCCTGGAGTTGTCCCCCAGGTGCTGAGCAAGCAACTGAACCTGCCTTCCTGCCATCTGGGTCTCCTCACCACCCTGTCCTGCTGGGCCAGAAGCTCTGGTCTCCCCCAGACAAAGCACAGAGTTGGGGTAACAGCCCCCCCCAGCAGAACAACACAGAGCTCAGCTATAAAGACCCAGGAACACAAACTCCAAAGAGGTCCAAAACCCAAAGAAATCCGTCTGACCCTGTGTAAAAGTTTTACACAGAGAAAACTCATAAGACCAGCCCCCTTTATCAATGAAAGAGAGAGATGCACAGAATGTGCTTCCCTCACCCACACGTAACAATTATTTACATTGGGCTTGGTAATAAACAAAAGTGTTTTTTATTAAGTATAAAAAGTAGGATTCAAGTGAATGCAAGTGAAAACAGACGGATCAAGGTAAGTTGCTAAGTTAAAATAAACAAAAGACGCCAGCTAATTCTAATACACTAAGACCAGGGGCTGCGTTCCCTGCTCGCTATGCTCACCAACCCCTCTCTCTGGGGGTAGGTGTCTAGCCGGGGAGAGTGGACAGAAGTGGGCTGGGGGCAGGGTGTCTCACTGGAGTGAGGGGGCAGGAGCAGGCTATGGGTAGGTGTCTGGCCAAGGGGAGAGTGCAAGAGCAGGGGAGGGTGCAGGAGCAGACTGGGGGTATAGGGTCTTGGCAGAAGCACTTGCAATGCTTTGAAGTCTCTCACAGTGTCAGCTGAACCCAGTTCGGAAATCCCAAGGTCCCTGCCGTGACAGGTAGGCAGCCGCCTTAAGCCCCAGGGCGTCCCACTTCCGATAGCGGTGCGCTAGAAAGACTCTTCTCAGGGGTGCTGGTTTAGTCAGGATTTGAGTGCTCTCCGTAGTGTGGATCTGTTGCTAATGGTCCTTGCACCTGGAAGGAAGGAGCTGAGAGGAGAAGCTAAGCATGGCTCCATCCTCAGCCATTTGTGACGGCAATAAGCTGTCCTGTAGCCGGGGGTGAACGGGGCGGCTAGTCAGTCAGGAGAGTGGGGGAGGGGGGCGGAGTTAGGCTCGGATGGTAGAGGGAACCTGGTGCGGCCTGGGGTGGGAGTCGAGCTTGGATGGTGGAGGGGACCCAGCCCCAGCTCCTCCTCCTCACTGGCATAGCCCCCCCAGGGCATGAAGTGGAAGCCAGAGCTAGAGTAGCCCGTACCTGAGGGGGTGGTGCCAAGGCTGGCCACAGCAAGCAGCTGAGGATGGAGGTAGAGGTGAGCGGTGGCAGCATGAGGATGCAGATGATGTGATAACTTCACTCTGTCGTCCCGCAGGAAAAATGTGTTTATATAGAGAGAGCGAGAGCGAGCAGTGTTTCCCAATTTTATTTGGCCACAGAACCCTTTTAAACTTGGAAGAATTTCGAGACACCCCTACAGCTGGGGGGAAAATTTGTCAAGCAAAAAAAACCCAAACAAACCAGAGGAGCTGGTGCACGAAGCGGGGGGCAGTGATGGAGTTCTCACAGAGCATCATTTGGGAAACACTGATATATGGAAAGAAATTTGTTACTGCAAATTCTTAACCTCTAAACAGTTGATCTTATCTCAAGTAAAATGTTTCAGGTCAGAGTTGAGGTTTACTCTGGCCTGGGTCTACAGCTTTTTTTTCCAAAGTATTTTTTAGTTCTTTAAGAACATAAGAATGGCCATACTGGGTCAAACCAAAGGTCCACCTAGCCCAGTGTCCTGTCTGCCGACAGTGGCCAGTGCTAGGTGCCCCAGAGAGGGTGGACCGAAGACAATGATCAAGCGATTTGTCTCCTGCCATCCCTCTCCAGCCTTTGACAAACAGAGGCCAGGGGCACCATTCCTTACCCCTGGGCTAATAGCCTTTTATGGACCTAACCTTCATGAATTTATCTAGCTCTTTTAAACTCTGTTATAGTCCTAGCCTTCACAGCCTCCTCTGGCAAGGAGTTCCACAGGTTGACTGTGCCCTGTGTGAAGAAGAACTTTCTTTTATTAAAACAAAATACAGGACTATGTAGCACTTTAAAGACTAACAAGATGGTTTATTAGATTATGAGCTTTTGTGGGCCAGACCCACTTCCTCAGATCAAATAGTGGAAGAAAATAGTCACAACCATATATACCAAAGGATACAATTTAAAAAAAAGTGAACACATATGAAGAGGACAAATCACATTACAGAACAGAAGGGGGATGCAGGGGGGGGGGAAAGGAAGGTAAATGCCTGTGAGTTAATGATATTAGAGGGGGGGGAGGGTAGATGTCTGTGAGTTAATAGTGTTAGAGGTGATAATTGGGGAAGCTATCTTTGTAATGGGTAAGATAGCTGGAGTCTTTGTTCAGCCCCTTGCGGAGAGTGTCGAATTTTAGCATGAATGCCAGTTCAGAGGATTC